AACCCGCCCCCATACTCGAGTTGCAAGGCCCGCTATTGGGAGTTATTCTCGTCCCAACACCCCCCCCCGGCCTAAACTCAATAGCTAGAATAAGGCCATGGATTCATTTATCAGTACTAGAAACTTCGCACATCTTTACCAGTCTACCAACTACAAATTCACAGGTGGTTGGTATGTTTACATCTCTCCCTAGAGGAAAAACTAAAGGAACCCAATGTAGTTGACACCCGCGGTTTGTTTGCAGGTTTCGAGAGGAGGGACAGGAGTAGCCGAAGGAGAAGGTACCCGAGAAAACGACACGTTATCTGGCTCAAGGGGCCTCGGCACTGGGCGAAGACTGGCGCACGGGAGGCGTCGCGGAACAGGCGGGTGGGCAGTGCGACTCGGCGCTCCCCCGCGCCCACCCTCTCCATTCCCCAAGTGGGAGGGGGTTCAGAGGTGGGAACTGGACAGGCGGGGCGGAGACTGGGGGGGAGATCCGAGCCCCGGCCTCGCTTCCCTTCCTCAGCCGGCCGGGCGGGGGTGGCGGCTGGGCTCCGAGGCCGCGGGAGGCCATTTTAGCTGCGGGGCCGCCGAAAGCCCCGGCGGCCCTCCACGTCCCAACACCTCGGCGGTCTCTCGCTCCCGCCCCCACCGAGGGGGCCCCTCCCCGTCGCGGGCCGAGCGGGGCGGGAGAGGCCGCCGGGCCGGGCCCGTCTCGGGCCGGGACTCGGGGGCGCCGGGCGGGGGCCGGCGCGGGGGCGTTGTGTCGGCGGGATGTGGGCGGAAGAGCGAGCAGGGGGAAAGAAGGGAGAGGGCGGGGAGCCGTTACCTATACTGGGCCGCAGCCGCCGCCGCCGCCGCCCCGCTGTGGGTGAATCCAAAGTAGTTGCCGGTCGCCATTTTGGCATCTTCCCCCAGCCGGCTGGGCACTGCGGCGGGCACGGAGAGTCGGGTCCCATGGCGGGAGGAGAGGCGCAGAGGGGCAGAGACGCCGAGGGAGGGAAAGGGAGAGAGAGAGGCGCTGTGAGAAGCCGCCCTCGCCGGGCCGGGGCCAGGGCCGCGGCCGCGCCGCCTCCCCCTCCCGCCTCGCACTCCCTCACTCACTCGCACGCCCCGGTGGCGGCCGCCGCCTCCTCCCTGGAGCCAGCCCCAACCCCCGCGCCTCCCCGCGGCCCCGGGCCGGGGAAGGGGCCGGGCAGGGACCTCGGCGGGGCACATTATACTCACCATAGGTGAAAGAAACTACAGGGCATATGGGAATCATGGGCTCGGGCTGCTGCTGCTGAACTCTGAACTCTCACCCACTGCCTCCCTCCTCTGCCCCGCTCCTCCTCAGCGGAGAACAGACCGCCGCCTCCCGCCGCACTGCGCAGGCGCCCCCGCGCTCGGCACCCTGGGAGGTGTAGTCCCGGTCGCCTTAGCGGCTCTGGCGGGCGCGTGCCAGGGCCTTGGCCGAGGCGGGCGGGGGAAGCTGACGGGCGAAGGCGGGCCTGGTCTCCCCAAAGTGATGGTGACTGCGAAACGCAACAGGGGCGATAGAGGAGCGTGCGAGCAGCGCCTCGCCCCAACGTGGGGGGGGGGGGGGATCAGGGAGAGATTGGAAAGAGTGACGCCTGTTAGCCTTCTCTTACTTTTCACTCTCACTTTTGCGTGTATGCAGTATTCTTTACCTTTCAGTCCTTCTCGCTTTTGCACTTTTAATTAGAATTTGAGCTGGACTAATTTGGATGCTTCCTTAATTCTCTCATTCCTGCTTCTGATTCCTAGCTTCCTAGGGGAGGAAATGCCTGGGGAGGAGAGAAAAATTGCTGTTGTGTTGAGCTGTAAGCACACCCCCAAACACCCCTTCGGAACACCGTCTCCGCCCATCTACACCCACTCCTTGAGTCCTTCAACTTATGTTGAGCCCCGCCCCCACCTCAAAGTGTCAGGCTAGGTCCTGGAGGTGTATCAGTGAAGAAAATGAAGATCCTTGCGCACATAGAATTTACCTTCTGGGGAGGGAGGTGGAGAGTGTCAGACAATCGCAAATCGTGTGGTGGATGGTGATTGCGGCTTTAAGAATAAAGTCGGATAAAAAGGAGGGAGGTGTTATTTTACGTAGGGTGTGGATAGAGCGACCACTTGGGTAGAGCCTTGAAGGAAATGAGGAAAGAGCCCGGTAAATACCTGAAGGACAGCAAATGGAGGGTCCTAAAGCCAAGTGCTCAAGAGCAGCAAGGAAGTTAGTCTGACTGGAGTTGAGTGGTAAGGATACAGGATCTTCTGAAAGGTCCTTGGTAGGGATGCCAGGTCTTTCATGGTAAGGACAGAATACTCTCTCCCATGCAAGCATCTCTTTATTCCTCTGCTTTCTCACTGTTTTCTCTTTGCTTTCCCAGTTCATTTCCAACCATTCTCTTTCCTCTTACAGTCCCTCCTTCTTGCCTCCCATTAATGCATAAGTGCTCCATTTCACCTCTTGCTCATCTTCTCCATGCCCATGCCCCAGACCCTTTGCTACTGGCCTCTCTTCAATGTTTATTATTTATTAAAATCATTTATTAAAAAAATAACGATTTTTTAAAGTAAAAAAAATTTTTTTTAACATTTATTTATTATTCAGAGACAGAGAGACACTGAGGATGAGCAAGGAAGGGGCAGAGAGACGGGGGGACACAGAATGTGAAGCAGGCTCCAGGCTCTGAGCTGTCAGCACAAGGCCCGATAGGGGGCTCAAACTCACAAACTGAGATCATGACCTGAGCCGAAGTCGGACGCTCAACCAACCGAGCCACCCAAGTGCCCCCCATTTTTAAAAGTTTATTTAAGTCATCTCTACAGCCCAATGTGGGGCTCAATCTCACAACCTAGAGATCAAGAGTCACATGCTCCTCCATCTGAGCCAGGCAGGTGCCCCTCCTCAGTGTTTAATATGAGCACTAAAAAGAAATGCAGGGGTGCCTGGGTGGCTCAGTCAGTTGAGTGTCGACTCTTGATTTCAGCTCAGGTCACAGTAAGGGGATCAAGCCCCAAATCCAGCTCCACAGTGCGTGTGAAGACTGCTTGGGGTTTTCTTTCTCTCTCTCCCTCTGCCCCTTACTTGCTTGTGCTTTCTGTCTCTCTCTCTGTCTCTCTCAAATAATAATAATAATAATAATAATAATAATAATAAACAATAATTTTTTGAAAAGAGAAATGCAAAGGGTGAATCAGAACTCATCATGAAGTTTAGGGCTTTATCCCACCTTCCTATGCCAGAGCAGAAACAATACCTCAGTTCCTATTTGTGCCAACCTGGCTCCCCCACACCTCCTACAAAGGTGCAAGTTCTAAGAACCTGTCTGATTTATCCTATTACTCATTTCAAAAAAGAGAAAATGTAGAACATTGGGGGGAAAAAAATCAATGTCATTGTTTTTGACGATACTGGTGTTTCCCTAGGCAGAAGTTCTTTGCAGTCCAAGTGTGTTGCTAGGAAAAAATATCTCCTACACATAGGGTATTAGAACTGCATTTTCAACGTAATTTATCTTGAACTTCATGGAGCAATAAAGCTTTTAAGGCACTGACTATCACTGCTTTGATAAACTTGCACTATTAGTTCCTAGGCTACTTGAATAAAACTGGAGGAGAAAAGACAGGTGTTAATCACCTAAGATTATTTTTAGGCCAATTTTATGCTTGGCAGGCCTTTAGGGGATGGAAGAGGGCTGCTGGCACACCCCAATGAGCAAGCAAGTAACTAGAAAGAGGAAGGCGTGCCTCTTGTCTTTGGTAACTGTTCCTAGAGTTCAGAGTAGGTGTGGCAGTAGTGAAAATTATTTACCACAGTGTACTCCTTAAAGAGGGAATCTGTAGGAAGGGCTCCACCAACTAGCATGGATTTATTTAAGGAAGGAATTTGGGGGGGGGCGCCTGGGCAGTTCAGTTGGTTAAGCGTCTGACTTCGGCTCAGGTCATCTCAGGGTTTGTGAGTTCAGGCCTCACATTGGGGTCTTTGCTAACAGCGCAAAGCCTGCTTAGAATTCTTTCTCTTTCTGCCCCTCCCCTGCTCCTGCTCCCCCCCCCCCGCCCCACCCTGCCTTTCAGAATAAATAAATAAGCCTTTAAAAAAATAAAAAAGGAAGGGGTTTTGGGATGTTTGGGATGGACTTGGAATCAAGAAGCAATGGGTCCTGGGGCACCTGGGTGACTCAGTCGGTTAAGCCATCCGACTTCAGCTCAGGTCATGATCTCATGGTTTGTGAGTTTGAGCACCACATCAGGCTCTGTGCTGACAGCTCAGAGCCTGGAGCCTGCCGCAGATTCTGTGTCTCCCTCTCTCTCTGCCCCTACCCTGCTCACGCTCTGTCTCTCTCTCTCTCCAAACTGAATAAACGGTAAAAAAAAAAAAAAAAAAAAAAAAAAGCAATGGGGTCCTTTTCCTGGGCTTTAAGTAGTGGAATGGCCTGAACACATTATTGAACCTTTCTGAACCTCTGTGACAGGAATAATACTAATGTCTCCCAGGACTGTGGTGGGGGTTAAATAAGGTAGCATTTCTATAGAACAACTCCAAGCACAGGGTATTTATGTAAAAAGAAGTAGGCTGGATGATTGTGAATCTTTTTAAAATCTTCCTTCCAAAAAGTGAATGCACTGCCCAAGTCACTCACCTAAAACCAAAAAGTAGGTGGCTCTGCCTTAGAGGGTTTATGTCCCAGAGCGTACCCAGTCCAGCCAACAGAGCAATATGCAGTCCTCTGGGCCAGGTGGGAGACTTGACAGGAGGAAGTCACTTATAACATCTGTCATGCTTCATGTCCAGAAATGCTTGGCATTGGAATACAAAAAATTACACTTACCAGTCATTCTCCACACTTTCACTCCAGTGACGTGTTCAAAATGCAAATCTAATCAAACACTTCTGCACTTCCCCTCACTCTTAGGACAAAGTAAAACTTTCACTTGGCTTACCCTGTGCAGTCAGGCCTACCAGCCAATTTCAGCTTCTTCCTCCTTCTCTTCATTCCAGCTACCTTGGCCTCCCATCTAGCATGCTATTACCACAGGGCTTTGCATGTTCTATCTGACTAGAATGTTCTTCCTTCCTCTCCTTACCTAGTTAATCCTCATGCTTCAAAATCTCCACTCAGTCAATCCCTCCTCAGCCTTCCCTGCCCCCTCCCCCCCCACCATCAGACTCTTATCATGCTCTCAGAGCACCGGGCATCTCTCCTTAAGGTGCCTTTGTGACAGCTGCAATCTTACACTTACTGCGTGATTGTTTGACTGACATTATGTCTCCCATCAAACTACAGCTTGATGAAGGCAGGACGCCAATATTGGGTGCCTGGTGATGGGCACTCAGTAAGTCCTTATTTAATAAATGAACCAGGCAGTGAACAGCTTAATCTTTGATGATTCAGAAGACAGTTTCAGGAAACTGTAATGCCTCGGGGTCATCATTAAGAACCTCAATTAACATCTGAGGGCAAATGAGGAAACATTAATTGGCAGACCGATTAACCACAAGGTGGAGCTAGCCTGAAAAGGCCTGCCCCTAAACTCACCCCAAATATTTGTAGTCACCTTTAGTCACACCTTTGAGTCAGGCCCGGTTTCCTGAAAGGCCTTGTTAAAATACAAATGTGTTAGGGACATCTGGGTGGCTCAGTCAGTTAAGCGTCTGACTTCGGCTCAGGTCATGATCTCACGGTTTGTGAGTTCCAGCCTTGCATCGGGCTCTGTGCTGACAGCTCAGAGCCTGGAGCTGGCTTTGGATTCTATATCTCCCTCCCCCCATCATACCCAGTCTCTCTCTCTCTCTCTCTCACTCTCACTCTCTCTCAAAAATAAATAAACATTAAAATACAAATGTGTCAGCCAGAGAGGATGACATATGAGCTACTCTATAAACCAAGAGAGTATGGCATGGTGAATGAGGGCTTGGTCTCTGAAGCTGGACCCATATGGCTTCAAATCTCAGCTGTCACTAACTGTTGTGTGACTTCAACCACAATCTCTCTGTGCTTCATTTTTCTCCTAAGTAAAAAGAGGTTATAAAAAGTAGTGTCTACAGCAGGGTTTTGTTGGCAGGGCTTTAACAACTTCCAGAGGTAAAGGTCCTAGATCAATGCTGGGTTCTTTGCAAGTGCTATGAGTATTGGCTGGTCCTTCTAACTACCACCCATTCTTTTTTTTTTTTTTAAGTTTATTTATTTTGAGAGGGAAAGAGAGAGAATCCCAAGCAGGA